ATAGATGTTTTGTTCTAATGTTAATTGAAATTGAGAACTTTTTTTGTTGTTGTACAATTCACATTTTGTAACTAGGGCCTGTAACATTTTGATTTGCGTTTGTTGTTTAATAAAGAAAAAAAAATCAAACAGTCGTGAACCCATTCTAGAGGGGGGGCGTGTTGCAGTGTTGCCCTTAGTTAAATTACTTACATTATACTTTTCAATATTCTTGCGAAACCGCCTTCGGCAAGGCGGTATAGTTTTTTCTCAACCCTACCCATGCGAAGCAGGTAGCGGACCCTTGGATAACAGTCGGTGTTTGACGGATTCAGGATTTAGAGTTCAAATTAGTAACAAGTAATTCGAGACAATTGTGAAATGGCGTTCACACTGTTTGATTAAAAATAAACCGAATTTTTGTATTGTTATTCAATCAAAACTCCAGAGCTAGTCGGCGCCCAACAACATTCATAACATTCATAAGAAACAAAAGTAACCCGATAACAAGAGCTTCTTCCATCCTTCACAACTTCGTACGGAAAAGAGAGGGAATACAGTATTATCCCCAAGGAGAAATAAACGAGACCGTGGAAAAACCCAACAACATAGAAACACGAGACTTGGTGATACACGAAGCCTTTTCAGCGACTAATTTCAGAAATTATTTAGCGAACTATTTTCTTTCTCCTCGTTCATGTCTACCATGGCAGTGGAAATTCGCAACACCAGGAAATAATATGGAATAACATTATAATTTGATAAAAAATAATGCAAAAATAAATTATACGGTTGGCCTAAGTGTTTCTCAAATTTGTCTCCAATTTTACCCGTATATATCTCGAATTGCGACTAGACTCATTGGCCCGAACCCATACCTTATACCCACGTTTTATAGGCTTCAAAGGCATGTACTGACGGAGGGAAGATCTCCCTTTGAATCGATTCATCGATCGATTGAAATCTCAGAAGGTTTCTAGTATTGACTGGAAACATTTAAAGATATTTTACCGAAATCTCTCGTCTCTATATTTGACGACCAATAGCCTTTTATAGATGGTTGTTTTTTTATTCCCATCAAAATATTAATTCCAATGAAAACTTTCATTTCAGTTTTAGTTATTGGCAAAAAATGATGCATCACCTAATTTCTGAGTTGCATATAAATTGCTTTGGAAAGTTATTTCATCAAATAAATCTCCTGGAAACAAACACAGAAAGAATTCAACAGGCAGGGACAACATTGTCAGTAATATTGACGGGTCCTGAGGGATTAGTAAATTTTACAGTCGATTCATTGGGAGTATTTTTGGTCCAAAAAGAATCACAAAAGTATGCTAGAGGTCGTTCGTCATCGCTGTTGAACTCATCATTATAAGTTACAGAGTCACTATGAATAACTTTATCCCTGTCAGCCACAAAATTTTCAATATTATCAGCTGTAGTTGCCGTTGGGAGTAACTGTGACATATCGTTTTCGAAATCAGATTCATCTTCCGTATCACCACCTGCAGTCGACTCCACATCGGAAGGAATACTTTCGTATAACTCGTTCAGTCGATCTCTCCAAATCAAAATAATTGAATTTACCACCTGAAACAAAATCATATGAGTCCCAGTAGCTACAATTGAAGCCACCCATGTAAATCATTCTATACTCATAATTTACTAAATCTAGATTACTTTCTATTCAAAACATACTACTGTGATCTAGTATTGATCAGAAAATCATAATGAAAATAACTCACCAGCCATATTTTACAAATAATCCAATCACAACAATGTTATAACTTTTCAGTGACGTTCAAACTGACACTGATCTACATACACATAACCATATTCGGGTGCTTGAATGTTGGTGTATTCAACTGTTACAGTTTATATATGAAACAAATGTGTGTATGCAACACATAATACATGTGGTTTCACAACGAAACCGCTGGGACTCTCGGCAAGATTTTTGAAAAGGTGGTGTCGCGGTGATGCCACTACTAAGCCCTTGCCGTACGACAATGAGTCTGGAAATATATAATTCTAAATTATTATTTTTCAAATTAGTTGAGTTTTTTTGATCAAGACAATTTGCAGATTTGTAGTCTTTCATTTTTATTCTGATTCTGTATCGAGTCCAAGCTAATAATCATATTATCCAATTCAGAAAAATTTGAAAGAATTATATAACCTAACTTCACCGCATTGAGATTTCCAGGAAAATCATCGCAATTATTCTCCACATAAATATGATATGGTCGTGTATGCGACATACAATCGATTGTTTTGGTATGTTTTCATTACCTATTTTTTTTGTTTTCGTCGATGAGTTCTAATCCGCTTTTTCTATTGACGTATTTTTCAATTTTTTCTGTTCTTTCCATATTAAACATAGTATTGTTACCTATTATTGGTGATGTATCCATATATGTTGACACATGAGGAGGAGTTGAACTAGGAGGTGGTTCGGGAGGTTCACCCCCATTTACACTAGACATCATTTTGTAGTTTCAAAGAACTCAATGCACACTATAGATTTGAAATAACCGAGCTGATACAAATGAATTTGTTCAAATAAGATACTCTGAAAAAAACTTCGAACACGTACGAAGTCTATAAAAGAACTGTCAACATAAATTACAACAAGTAATTTATCCGGTTTTCTTCTGATAAATAAACATGCATCTGAAGAAGTTTGCTGCAATCTTTTTGTCTTCAGAAATTCGGTGAAGCGCAAATTCTAACAACGAGGTGACTTTTAAATCATACAGACCACGCAGTAACTTGCATACCTTAATGCCTCATCAGTATCGTCGTGATAGTTATCTCGTTGCTCCATAAAAAGTTCTTCGTCTAGTAATCTGTAAAAAAAGGCTGCCCTCACATCAAATTGTGGCAAGTACCAAATTTTCGGAAACAGACATTGATAAAACTATTCTCATAGCATCAAATCGAGCAACTGGTGCAAAAGTTTCATCAAAGTCAATACCAGCTTCTTGAGCAAAACCTTTTGCAACTAACCTTGCTCTAAATCTAATATCTCCTTCTGGATTTTCTTTAAATGTGAATACCCAACGATATTTAATGGTTTTTCTTCCGATAGGCTTTTTCACTAATATCTAGGTGTCATTTTATACTAGCAAGTGCATTTCTTCGTCCATTGCTTTTCTCCACATCTCAGATTCATTAAATGAGAATGCCTCGTCAACAGTATTGGGTTCTTCTACAGCAAGCATTGCAAAAGCATCGTATCTTTTAGATCTATCTCGGAGAACAGGACGATCAAATGGCAGGCTTGTTTCTGATTCCATTTTACTCAAAGCAGTACCTTCATCAATCGATACTGATTCGGAACTTATACTTGTGACTGGTAACCATACTCGATATCCATCTTTGTCTTCGATATATCCAACCAGATAACCTTTCTCACTATTCGGAACATGTACAAAACTTTCCATCCAAAAATTTTTGAATGATCCACAGGAGCTTGTTTTCCTATGCAAAACATCATAGGTGCCATACATTCTGTCATTGTGGGACCAGTTCTGTTCAAAACTTATACACGAGTATTAAGTGCTTCTGCCCAAAGGTATTCAGGGAGATTTTCCGCATGTAACATGATTCTGTTCAGGTGTGTGAGGCATGGTGATTCGATGATGTAAACCATACTTTGTTAGGTTATTCTTCATATCCGTGTTATCGAATTCTTCACCACCATCAGTTAATATTTTCTGTGCTCAATGTCCAGTTATTTTTGCTTTTGACAGAAATTCTTCCAGTTTATCTTTCACCTGAGACTTGTTTTTGAGAAAGTAATCATAGCGAAATTTACTGAAATCATTCTTTAAAACGAAGAAAAATCGTGCACTACCAATCGATTTTATAGTCATTGGTTCACAAACATCAGTATTAATAAGTTCTCCAGGTTTATTGGCTACCAAAAAGGTAGCCAGAAGATCCTGAACATGTCTCTTATTTTGATGACAGAGACGTTCGTATCAAATCTGGAACTGACTCTAAGTCTTAACTCGAACGGCCAGGAGTTTCCCGGCGGAAACCTCAAAACAAGAATGCTTACCCCGGCCAAAAATTTTTCCGAAGTAACCCTCGAAAATCACCACTAGCAATGGTAGGGGTCAAAAATATCGTGAAGAGGGGTCAACTACCTGAGTTCAAGTTCCACAAAAGCGACCCTTTGTTTTAATCGAGAGTTAACGATAAGTCATCCTAAATGTTCGAGAGAATTCCAAAGATACGCGATAGAGAAATACGAAAATAATAGAGAGTTATCGCCATTCCTCTGAAAAATACGGTAACGTTATTTTGACATCTACGCTTGCGCAGGTTGCTGTATTTTGGAAATAGCGTTAAATGCAAATACCGTATTACGGTATTTTGAAAGAATACCGTAAGGTTACCGTATTATGATATGTCCTCATGTCATTTGTACCGAATCGGAAAGAAAAAGAAGTAGAAAATTTCAAAAATAAACTGTGTACTGTGATTTTCTCTCTGGTATTCCGGATATTTTATAGTGTGTGTAATAATATGGCACAAAACAAAAGTCGGTTGAGATTTACATATGAAAATATTATATTAGCTAGAGAAGTATTAAGTCAGAATCCCTATGAGGATGCTGTAAGAATGGAAACAATCCAAACTAATGTCAATATCTTAACCACAAAAATTTTTATAATACGAGCACTGAAGGAACACTTAAAGGCAGGGACACATATACGCGGTGGCGGTAGCGGTGGCGACAGCAGTGGCGGTAATCACTAAACACATACATGAGCGGTAGCAATGCGGTCGCTCATGCGACGAAACATAGTCTCTCAAAACATCCATTTGTGAATAATGTTGGGTAGGTATACTTATCCATCCTATGGATTTCGAAGAGGAAGTATTACTTTTGGCAGCCGCCAATGAAGAAGAACAACGGGAGTTGCTCCATCAGAGGAACCGAAGGTACATTTTGTTCAAATGTTTTGGATGAAAAATTGAATTTTCTTAATGTTATTTTAGGAAAAACCAATGGGTTCATGAAATAAATCAAACGCGTCTTCAGGAAGGGGAATTCCACACGTTATATAAACAGCTACGAATGGATGAGAAACGGTTTTATATTTATTTTCGAATGAATTTTGAATGCTTTGATGAAATATTAGCACGTATAGAGAATGATATAAGAAAACAACACAGTAAATTCAGGGAACCAATAGAACCTGCAGAGCGGCTTGCAGTTACCTTAAGGTCAGTACATTCATTTGAAATAAAATGAAATCAAGAGTCAATGATTTAAAAATATTTTGAGTTTTTTGAAGTGAAAAGAACACGTTTCACGATTTAGCGCAGTTATATTTGAGAATGCAACATACAAATATAAAAAATCCAATGTGTACAAGACTTTCAAATTAAGTTTGTAGTTTTAAATTTACTTCTAAGATGCTACTGTTGACTAGGTAGTATTGAAATCAAACGCAGAAAAAAAATAAATAGTGCATATCGTAGTATATTCATGTTGAATATCAAAAATATGTAAGAACACAAAAAAAAATCTGAATACTGGCCAGGAACGTAGTACACAATAACAGAAGAAAGTAAAAACCCAGCAACAAAAGTTAGAAAACAAATAAATTTAAGTCAAATATTACTATTGCCAAAATTTTCATACCAAGTAGCAGTGGCCGATAGTGATTGTGAGGTTATTGTTTCAGTATTTGGAACATTTGGAACATGATACGAATATTCTGGAGAACTCATGACCGACAATGAATGCGCATTCGAGTTTGAAATATTGCATACACACGAATTTGGGATTTCCTGTTGATGTTCCAATTCGTTTTCCATAATCATCTTAGCAATACCAAATTTCATCATTGTTTGTCTTCGAACAGATAAATAATTTCCTAACAGCTGCGGCATAGCCCAAAAATATTTTGTCTACTTTATCGCACTCTGCTACCATCGACCTTTTTTAACGGTAACTTAATATTTTCTCAGTACCAGTTGGTTGTGAAGAGGGTGTGACTTTAGTAACCTTCCTTTTTCTGCTAGTTTGAGGTGTGGGTAATTGTTCTATGTCTGCTGTTTCTGTACGTTGACCAGTATTAACTGGCAATTCCACTTCGTATTCATTAGTAACTGAGTTGTCGTCATTTGGTATTTCTAAAGAATTGACTGGTGAATCAGCTGGCGACTCTTCTTGAGTTGACTGTAATATATCAGACAATATACCTACACGAGAAATATTAGACTCCGTTGTTGCAAACCGGAGGAATGGCCGAAATAGTCCATTTGTTGAGCCCATGGCCACTTCTTATAACGACAAATTACTGATGCGTTCTGTCCAGTTGTCGTTTTTTCTGATCTAAGATGTTTGGCATAATTATCGCGTAAATTTTTCCACTTCTTTTTAATATGTTCCCCTCAAACAAAAAAAAAATATTATTTTGTTTCAGATTTCTAGCAACAGGAGATTCATATAAAACCATTGGACACAGTTTCCGAATGGGATTTTCTACGGTTTCAAAAATTGTTGAAGAAGTATGTTGCGCAATTTGGACGAGACTGCAACCAATTTATATGCCAGAACCCACTACAGAAATTTGGGAAACTTCAATTTCCGCTTTTAAGGATATATGGAACTTTCCTAACTGTCTAGGAAGTATAGACGGCAAAATTTCGATAGTGTTAATGGCAATTGTGGATTCGTACTATAAATTCATTTCCATCGATGTCGGAGCCTATGGAAAAAATAGTGATGGCGGTATTTTTGAAGCTTCAAATATGGGTAGAAAATTTGAAACTGGAACCTTTAACATTCCTGCCACTAAACTTTTGCCTGGGAAGGATGAGCCACTTCTTTGTGTCTTAGTTGGTGACGAAGCTTTTACATTAAGCTCGTACTTAATGAGACTATTTCCTTATCGACAAGTACGCCAGGACGCCAGAAAAGAAAAATTTAATTACCACCTATGCCGAGCTCGTCGAGTCGTGGAAAACGCTTTTGGAATTTTGGCTCAAAAGTGGCGGCTATTTTTTAGCCCTCTAGAAATGAAAGTTCCAACTGCAATAAGTATTGTGAAAGCTACTTGTGTTCTCCACAATTTACTACGATCAAAGAATGTAGACGAACATTTTCATCATCTAACTGAATATGATCCAAGACCAGTGCAGGGATTAAATAATTTGCCAGCTGACAGACGAAGAGCAACTAATTATGCTTTTTATTAACGTGATCAATTTGTTGATTATTTCAATAGCTTGTAGTGTTTAATGTTACTTAACAGTGAGTTATATTGACATAACATAACAACATAATAAATTAACAATACACAATAACACTAATATTTTCATACTTACCATCCATGCCTTCAACATTTAAACTTTTTGCCATTTCGTCCCATGCTTTATTCTTAATCCGAATATTTTTGTAATGAGGATGAGATAAATCATATAACACCCTGCATTTCTTTACATGTTCTATAATTTTTTCAGTGACACTTTCTTCAATTATAGACATTTTTGCGAGCGGTACGCGTTTCAATAGCGGTCGAACTCAACAGCCCATGTTTCACCGCCACCGCGCATTATAACGCTGCCGTACCGCTCTGGCCGTAGACATGTTACGACAAGTGTGCAACGGTATATTTGATTGTACATGTTACGTCTGAACGCCACCGCGTATATGTGTCCCTGCCTTAAATATGTTCATATTACAAAATGTAAAAAAGGATAAAATTAACAGATCCAAGTAAGTATCATGTAATTACTTCATTACTGTTATTACCTAATAAAAATTGTATTTTTAGATCTGGGGTGGAAGAGGTTTATTCGGAATTGGATCAACTTCTACAGGAAATAAGCGATATTGCCAAAAATGAAATGGTTACGTCGGAGAAAAAAAATGAAAAACAATTATTGACCATATTGGCAAAAAAAGGAAAAGAAGCCTGAGATTTAGCAATGAAGTCCACATTAAAAATAAAGAAAATGAAATAATCAATTCATATCATGATTATGGTAGGTATATTTCAACTTTTTTTTTTATCTAAAACAGGAGTTGCATGGTGAAAATATATTTTGTTACATTACATTTTGTCAAATTTAAAATATATTTTCAGTCATGTCGAATGCTGAAGAAATTACAGCAGATGTGGATTTACATTATCTGATTGAAGAACCTGATTCAGTGACCACACATACCCCAAACGTGAAACGAAAGATTTTGAGTAAGTAGTATTCAAATAATTATTTTGTGTAAACACTTAGTACAATTGGGGCTAGTTGAAAACGGTTTTATGAATTTCATCATTTTGTGTGCTTTATTATGCCTATGTATTTTAATGTTGTTTGTATATTTGAATTGTAATTACTTGGTATTTATTACTTTTTTTTATGTTAATGGCTTCGGCATATATGGCCATTTGCCTCGTGTTTTGGGTAGACTTTGTTACTGTTTCCATATACCCGTTTAGGAACAGAACTGTTAATTAGATCCCAACAGTGAATGGTCGGACAGAAAACCCTCTGTGGCTCTCTAAATTAATTTAATAACTGAAAAAAATTCTTACCTTGACTGGGGTTCCAACACAGAACCATGCGGTTCTCAGTCAGAAGCTCTCCTACCCTTTTATTACTCCAAATGTTAAACTTTTTCACAAATTTTTTTAGCACCAACCAGAAAAAGAAAATGTAATCCACCTATGAAAAAAATGCGTTGGATTATTTGGAAAAAAAGCGGGAGTGGGAAATTGCCGTTAGAGAGAAGGAACTGGCATTAAAAGAAAGGCAATTAGATTTAGAAGAAAAAAAACACATACTAGAAAGAGAGAAGTTTGAAGCAGAAAACAGGAAAATGAAACAAGAAAAGTTTCTACAAGACAAAAAGGAAAGAAAACAAATAATTGAAATGATTAAAGTGCAAACGCAACTATTGCAGCAGTTTGTAACATTGAGTAATACCTCTAAGTTAGTGTAGTGTAGGTTTATTTAAATATAGATTTTAGTTGTTCAGGTTTTTATTTTTAAGTTAGCTTAGATAATCCTTTATAAAGTAAGTTATTGTAAATGAAAATGTCCAACATTCAGTGTTCACTGTTTATATTTTACATATACACTTATCTGAAAGTTACGCTGTTAAACTCCCAAGTATTCTTCTAAATTTGGAGGTACCACATTAAAATATTGACTCGTCTGACTTCCATATAGGGAAGTATGGCAATTTGTTAACAGTACAGCCACTTTATAAAGTTGTTATATGTCTTGAACAAGAAGTTTCTGATTTTTCTTGAAATCTAAGAAAGCAAATTCTGCTGTATCTTTCTGGAAACCCCATTCTATAGCTTGTCTAACTGCACTCATGCTTCTATTAAACTCCGGTTGTTGTAGAGTTAAGTGCTGGTTTCCATAAGGACATATCAATAGATCTCTTATACCATATGCTAGATCACCATATAAAACAAAATTGTCTCCATTTGGAAATCTTGCAACTATCTTGCGAAAAATACCTGCATCATGTCTTCGACCTGGATATGCACCTTTCAGGCTCAATATCAATCCATCAGGACTTAACAAAGATTGATATTTTACACAATGATACCGTTTGTGTCCAGAATAATAACGTTCTTGTTCTTCTGTAGGTTTGCAAATGGCTCGTGTTGTGCCATCAATAAATCCCCAGCAGCTATTTAAGGGAGCATCTTTGGCAAATACTGCCTAAAATGAGAGATATTTGTGAAAAATGCTATTTTGAGCAACATTCAGAATTAATAAGCTTTGCAAGAATTTTACAAATGCCAAGAATTTTCAAGAAAACTTACATGTGAGTAGTACCTTAACTTGTCTAGATTCAACCACGGTAAATTCTGTAAATTTTCAATTAAATGACCATGATTTTGGTATATTATATCTGCTACTTTATTTGCAATCTGCGATAATGATTGTGCAGATAATCCAAACAATGGCTCCAAATCACATAGCCGATTAGGATATGCTAATCTTCGCAACAAAATACAAAGTCCATGTAGCCCTGAAATTAAAAAGATCATTGGAAATATTAACAACTCTAATGAAATATAAGAGCATAGGTTTATTCAAATAAATTAGATAGTTTTTTTACTCACTAGAAATACGATGCCTTTGTTGGGTAACTATTTCATTAGGTAGGCCAAGAGCTCTTGCTAAACGAATTATATTGTCTTTGTCGAAACGGAAGTTATTTTTTACTTCAGCAGGAACTAATTCATTCAAATCAAACGTTTTGCTCGATTTCCCACTGCATTCTCTTCTGTTGCTGAATTTGAAATTGTATTCACCAAATTAGATAGATTTTTCCAAAGTTGTTGAAAATGAATTGGGAATTTTTAATCGAGATCGAATTGCGATAAAAAAAAATGACGAAACGAGAGAAATTTAATTTTTGAATATTTAAACGCAAATGCGCAAAAAAAATTTTGAACTGTATAAAGCAGTAAAAAAAATTGTGAATTTTGCACGGAGAAGAAAAAAGGTTTGCGAATTATTTCATCTTATGATTACTGTGTTACGTAATAAATTTAACAGCTTTGGACTGTACAAAAAACAACTATATCAAATGGTTACGTAAACAAGGTGAAGCAAAGGGTTATGCTCACAGCTAGCCTGAACAGGAAGAGAGGGGTGAGTTCCTGAAATACTAGGTGTCACTTTAACGGGCGCCAATAGATTCAAATATTTAACCCTGACTCGAAATAATGAAATTAGAGAAATTGAATCTATAAGATATACTCTAAAAAAAGGTAACCAATTGATAATGAACTTTGGCAGGTAACAATAATTAGAAAGACCACGGTATCAATTCAATAGAAATATATTATATACTGGCTTATCTATAAATATATAATCAATAAAACAAGATTTGAAATGGTTGGAGGGGTTTCGTGCACTTAGAAAACTCTCATGAGAGGGAAGAAGAGGAGTGGATGAGATCTGTATGGTAGGTCTTCGTCCAGTCCCCTAAAGACATTACGCAAAACTTACATAACTAATATACAGAGAACAGTTAAACAATATCCGCTGAGTGTAGTTCCCAGTTGATGATTACTAAACGTAGATATTGGCCCGTGGAAGTTACGGAATGCAAAATAAATGACCAAAAAACAAATTCCGCTATGCGGTACTTAGCCAGATTACTGGATTGTACGGATTACTGCACTTACTGGAACGGATGTTCATTCCTTTAATTATATCCTTAGAAGGCGACCATGAATATTACAGTATTGCGACCATCGAATGACATATATTCTCTTCAAAGTAATTTTTATTTTCCTCGAGATGATTTCGATATATGGGGTTAAACGCCTAGAAAATTATATTTATGATTGTAGTGATCTTATTATAGGAAAATGAGGTATGGATCATAGAAAACTTATTCAACTGTGTGAAATTATAAGAACTCACCTCCGATTACCGATTCCCTAATAATCGCGAGACGTTGACTTCTTTTACCACAAAAAAAAGGCTGATATCTAAAATCCTCCGTAGAGACAAATCGACAGTTGATAATATAATCCAACGAATTATTCGACCAAATATCACTGTCGAAAAGAACACTGATCAATTAAAACCGCCTAAAGCGTAAAATATTCAATCAACAAAATTTAGCGTTCAAGACATTCGAGCCATTTTCTGAATAAAAAAAAGAAATTCTCCAATCCCTTTTTTGTACCCGATAGTTCCTATCGCTACAAACAAAAAGGTTTCCTCGTTTCATCGATGATGGCAGCAGCTCTCGTATGCGATATGAAAGATAATTGAAATGTATTCCTGGTTGCCTACCTTTTGGGAGTTTTCTAAAATTTTACGGATAACGTAACAACTGAAGCAAATAGACAAAAAGAAAAAAATAATAATTTATTTGAGGCCTGCCTGGTAGTGTTCGGTGAATCGAACACGACGATCTGAATACTCAGCAATAATTGCATTAATATCAGGCGAAGAAGAAAAGAAGAGAAGAAGACAATGGGTTCATCCCATATGGCTGCTTCGAGGCGCGGAAGGGGAGTTTGCGACTTTGTATAGAGGCTTGGTGGAGGACGAATGTAAATTTTATGAATACTTTCGAATGACCCAAAGCGCATTTCATATTTTGCTCATGAAAATTGAGAAGTATATCATGAGAAAGGACACATTCTGGAGAAATGTTTTTTCTGCAAGAGAAAGACTCGCCGTGTGTTTAAGGTAAATGTTTATGGATTACTACAAACGAATTTGTAGTGGCATCCTAGTCTATAGGTAGTCTATAGGCATCCTATCAAACTTTATCATTTGTGGTCGATGCCAGTTTTTTATAATTGGCTTTTGTTTTTATGAATAACATTCCTTTAAATAACTTGCATCAGATATGTACATGTGACTAGAGGATTGATTAATATTAAAAAACATTTAAGGAATCCACATTTTTATTCTATTCAAACAAGTATTGTAGGTTACAATATAAGTATACTTTGGCATCGAGTCAGTGTTGTTGTCCAAAATAATAATATAACAAATATTTTTGCCTTGTCACAAAATCAATAAAAAACTTGGAATACTACCAATCCTGTTTTTTTCTAGATATCTTGCTTTAGATGATTCGTTCGGAACGATTTCTTTCAGCTACCGGATGGGGCACTCAACTGTTAAGTCAATAGTGACCGAAACACGTAGAGCAATAGTTGAAGGTTCGATGAGGGAAGTGATGCCTGAACCATCAGAAAAATATTGGAAAAAAATCTCACAGGATTTCAAAGACTTTTGGAATTTTTCAAATTGCATCGGCGCTGTAGATGGCAAACATGTCAGCATACAGGAACCACCAAACAGTGGATCTCAATTTTTTAATTACAATTTTTTTTCAGTTGTGCTTCTTGGCTTGTTTGATGTCAATTACAACTTTATTGATGTAGATGTAGGTGCCTATGGCAAGAGCAGTGATGGTGGTATTTGGGCACGCTCTAACATCAGTAAAGCATTTGAATCAGGTAACTTTTCGGTACCTGGACCCGTTTCTCTCTCCGGTGAAACATCGAATTACCATACGTTATAGTCGCTGATGAGGCTTTTCAGTTAAAACCGTATATTATGTGCCCATACCCCGGTCAGGAATTGGACGATCCAAAAAGGATATTCAGTTATCGCATGAGCCGTGCCAGAAGGGTTTCGGAAAATGGGTTTGGAATCTTGGGTCAAAAATTCAGACGGATTCAGTCGTTACCTGCAAATGTGGACAACATAATATTGGCTACCTGCGTTTTTCATAATTTCATACGAAAGTATGAAAGGTACGAAAGTGCACCAGTCATCAGTGGAAATACTTCTGGCAACGACTACACTCCCTTGTCTCACAAAGGTGGAAATGCCACCAAACACGCCTTTCAAATTAGATACGCATTTAAAGATTATTTTGCCTCAGAAGCAGGAGCAGTTCCTTGGCAAAATCAAGCTATTGGTGGCCGAGATCAATGATTTTGTTAACGTCATTTATCACGTCCTTAATTGAAAGTTGGTTAATTGTTTGTAGGTACCACCGTTTTCTTAATGTATTTACTATTTCGTATAATTTTGTAATTTAGTTACGTCCTCCTGTTTGCCTGTTAATTTACAAAAAGAAAATAATAATAATAAATAGTTTTGTAGGATTTAGTACGGCAAGTAGTGTGCTTGCTCTTGAGCAACTTTCAGGATCGTGCAGATCGATGAAAAATTGCATACACAATAAACGTGGCCCATGGGCGCCAAGTACTTTTTCGTTGCTCCGGCTGACTATGTCTGAAGAGAGAAACAACTAAACAACGACAGACTCATTTCACAAAACTTTTAATCACTGTAATGACAAATTAACAAAGACTTCCGAAAATTACGTATACTCCTTATATAATCAAGGAAAGAGGGATCCCGAAATCACTGAACGACATTTATCCAATGTGAAAGTACGTTCAACAATGTCTTAATCGACCTAACTTAAACAATAATAACAACCTATAAGTATACACAAA